TACTCCGTATCAGGTATATCCCTCTCCTACCTTTTGGTTTCAGATCTGGTTCGGTTTGGGTTCAAGATTGATCCTTGAAAATGCAGTTTTCTAAAATAGGGAATGCGATTCCCACATGGGAGAGAGAAATTTTTGAAATTTCACCCAACCTTCCTGCAGGGTTCGGCCATCCATATGATGGATCTCTCATCCCTTCAGTGGTATCAAAGCCAGGTTCAAATCTTGAACCGAAATTGGCCAAATCTGAAACTGCGCAAATGGGCAGAAGGCGTTCTACCCGATTTGCGCAAATTGTTGATTTTCTGGGAAATCGGTTCCTAGATTAAGGGCAATTGATCTGAAATTAAATATTTTTAAATCTGATTTATATTTAGAATTGTTCTTTATATTTATCTTGATTTATGGGTTGTTCGTATAGTGGAGATCGAAGTCTTGATTGGCACAAGAAAATTGCGCACCTGCTATTCTATTCATTCTTGTCTGTAATTATTTTTTTAATTTTTTAGACAGAATGTAGAGGAATTCTTTTTCATATAATATTAATAGAAAATTAGGGTTTTCTATTTTATTTCATTCAAATTCGAAGCAGATCGCGCAGAAGGAAGGAATTTCGCAGATTAGGGTTCAGCTATCTACGATTTGCAGTTTGAGAAACTGCGAACTAACCTCTGTTTTGCAGGTAGCAGATATACAAACAGCCCTTGTACTGATTCTTGAATGTCTTTTATCAGTAACTTAATTTTAGATCATAATCTTGAATTAAAAATCAAACCCTAAACCCATTCGAACCAAATTGGACCAAACTGGTTGGACCGAATCTGTGGTTCGATGGGGGCTGTTCTCAGCCGTAATTTTTCATTCTTGGGTCCAGGAGTTGATGGTTAATTGCAAGTTGTAATTCGACCCACACCTGTAAAACCCAGTTTTAATGTGTTAAAACTGCTTTAGCCCATTAACTGCATAAAAGCTATATGGGTCGAACTGCTCTTTGCAATTCAGCCCATATACCTAAATAATATTAATCAGTAATATTATGGATAACTATGGGTTTTATAGATATTAATTGATTGGATCAATTCGGTTTTTCATGCATGTGATGTATGGATGTGTGATGTGCAACGTTCATGGGCCATAAGTACTTGGCCCATGCTGATACGATAGTGGCTCTTACGCACACCATGGCTGAATGCACATCATTGCCATGGTGTCCTTAAGATCATTGGACGATCTCCCTTCGTGGAGGGCCCCACACCAACTTCCTCTTCAAGA